TGATTTGGACATTAACATCAACAAAGTTAAATCTTCACTTAATGCTGTGACTAATGTTTAGATGTTTTGGTACTATTTAACATTCAAACAAGTTAAATCTTCACTTAATGCTGTGACTAGAAGTTTAGATGATTTGGACATTTAACATCAAACAAAGTTAAATCTTTACTTAATGCTGTGACAAGAAGTTTAGATGTTTTGGACATTTAACATCAAACAAAGTTAAATCTTTACTTAATGCTGTGACTAAAGTTTAGATGTTTTGGACATTTAACATCAGTCAAAGTTAAATCTTTACTTAATGCTGTGACTAGAAGTTTAGATGATTTGGACATTTAACATCAGACAAAGTTAAATTTTTACTTAATGCTGTGACTAGAAGTTTAGATGTTTTGGACATTTAACATCAAACAAAGTTAAATCTTTACTTAATGCTGTGACTAAAGTTTAGATATTTTGGACATTTAACATCAAACAAAGTTAAATCTTTACTTAATGCTGTGACTAAAGTTTAGATGTTTTGGACATTTAACATCAAACAAAGTTAAATCTTTACTTAATACTATGACTAGAAGTTTAGATGATTTGGGCATTTAACATCAAACAAAGTTAAATCTTTACTTAATGCTGTGACTAAAAGCTTAGTTGTTGGTTTCTTAACGGTAGTTATAAAGTCAAAGTACTGTACTAACCTTTTACATTGCGTTGCAGGGATTACCAGTATCCACGGTGGGGGTAACCATAGCCGCCATAACCATGGTATCCACGGTAGGGGTAGCCATAGCCACCGTAACCATGGTATCCTCGGTAGGGGTAACCATAGCCACCGTAAGCACGGTAGGGACGGCCATATCCATATCCTCGTCCATAGCCATAACCGTATCTGGGATATCCATATCTACGTCCATGTCCGTAACCACCATAACGTACGGGGTATCCTCGGTAGCCATAACCACCGTACCCTAAGTAACCAGAGTAGGCGACGGCCACCAGGGCAGAGAGAGCCAATAGGAGGAGCTGGAAAGAGAAGCTGGTTATCGTCAGTTTTGAAACCTACCACCGATATATTGTCGCTACTAACGTCTATATAATTCTACTGCTAAACACCTCTTGTATAAATATGTGAAAAACTTTAATGGAAATTTAGCGAAACTCTGCTATTTACAAAAAATAAATATTCTACTACTATCAAATAAATAACCAACAGTAACGACGTACTAGCAAACTGAGTGTCAATAGTGACAACACAATTAACTAACGGAGCGCCAATAGTGATCGACAAACTAGCAAACTGAGTGTCAATAATGACAACACAATTAACTAACGAAGCGCCAATAGTGATGACAAACTAGCAAACTGAGTATCAAATAGTGACAACATAATTAACTAACGAAGCGCCAATAGTGATGACATACTAGAAACTGAGTGTCAATAGTGACAACAGAATTAACTAACGGAGCGCCAATAGTGACGACAAACTAGCAAACTGAGTGTCAATAGTGACAACAGAATTAACTAACGAAGCGCCAATAATGACGACAAACTAGCAAACTGAGTGTCAATAGTGAAAACATAATTAACTAACGGAGCGCCAATAGTGACGACAAACTAGCAAACTGAGTGTCAATAGTGAAAACATAATCAACTAACGAAGTGCCAATAGTGACGACAAACTAGCAAACTGAGTGTCAATAGTGAAAACATAATTAACTAACGAAGCGCCAATAGTGACAACATACTAGCAAACTGAGTGTCAATAGTGACAACAGAATTAACTAACGGAGCGCCAATAGTGACGACAAACTAGCAAACTGAGTGTCAATAGTGACAACAGAATTAACTAACGGAGCGCCAATAGTGACGACAAACTAGCAAACTGAGTGTCAATAGTGACAACAGAATTAACTAACGGAGCGCCAATAGTGACGACAAACTAGCAAACTGAGTGTCAATAGT